AAATAACTAGTAACATATCTTTCCGCACCTGATCGTTCTTGTGGCAAGTGAAAAACCGCGTAAACATCTAGAAATAATAAGAAAAAACGGCAAATTTGTCGAAGGAACTTTTCCTTATCATTTACTATGATAAATGTTTAAATAAACTTTTCAAATTTCAATCCTTCATATTTTCTCAATGACTCGACCGATTTTCAAAAACGAAACGGGGAAATATAGAGAATAGAAAGCTCTTTTCATTGGGGCGACACTTGACCCCCTTTCCCATTTGAAAAAAGTTGGGGAATGACACCCCCGCTTAGAGGGTTGAAGATTTTGCAATCATTTTTGGGGCAAAAGTTGTCCTACTCACAAACAAAATTGACGTGTTTTTGAATTTTCTGAAAAAAAAAAATCTCTGGTCGTTATGCCTTGCGGAATGTTTTCGATGGGCCACCCCGTACATTTTTTCAATGATATAATTTAAATTAAATTAATTTAGGATTGGGATTTAAAAAAAACAATCATGTGTTGTAAACAATACAATATTTAATTATAATCGTATACGTCTTCAAGCATACATACAGTTACAATTAGACTCTATATCTACTATACACTCATTTTTTAAGATACAAACAAAAATTCTGTACAATATTAACTTAAAAAAATGTACATAATTTAAAATTTGTGCTTAGTTATCTTTTTTAATAATTATTATTATCATTTCATAAAACGAAATCATCAAACTTTGAAAGCTATCGCATTCTTACAGAGGTGTAGGTGTTTTTTCTGAAATTTGAGATCATGAGAATAATATTTATTATATTTAATGCCAGGAATATGTATATCAAATGTAATATTGGAACTTTTAAATAATTTAATGCAACAACTTTCAAAAATATTAATTGTTCTGGCATATTATGTGTGTATGTAACACGATAAATTATCTAGAACTTTGATATGTCCCTACACTAAATATTTATTCATTTCGGATACATATATTTTTATCACCAATCGATTACATCTGTGTACAGGGTGTTTTAAAAGCTTCTATCTTCGAGCTCTATATACCGCAGGTTTACTTTCAAAACATTCTGTAGCCAACACGAATCATAACACGGTAGGTAGTCTGATTTAACGCTAAAATTTATGTGTACATTTATATTTCCTTACGTACGGTAGCAGACCCTTGTTTGTTTGTTTTTAAACGCACATATATATACAACGAAAGATATACACGGGTAAATAAACGATTTGAAGTGAAAATATGAGGTGTGGAGAGTTATATAAGCAAATATATAATAAACAACTTTAAGGTAAACATTATTTACCCTGCGTATAGTATGTAAATGCGGGTTTACACCAGACAATCTATTTGAAAAGTTAGTTTGATCAAACATCTTTGTTCAGGTTATTTGAAAAATTGTCAAATATACAGGGTGGTACGAACTATATTCTGCAGCATTTTTGCAGATAAAAATAGGTAGAAACGTTCGTATAAATTTCTGGCCTAAAATGCTTGGTTCCGGAGATACAGGGTGTAAAGTTTAATTTTTTTTGGATTTTTTCCAAATAATTTCTGAAGTAACGTCAATATTTGGATGAAAATTGGTGTCCGGTAGTTTTTTGACATGTGAAATTTGATTTTGATGTCAATATGACTCCTATTTGTAGGGGACGCCACCTACATGTGTTTTAACTGTTTTGAAGAGTAATAACTTTTCGTCCGTACCTGTATAAAACTATTGAGTAAAAAAATATACATTTACGACATTTTCTACGTAAAAAAGGTCTCTGTGTAAATATAGGTACGAGCAACCGTTCTTATAATAAATAGTCAATACATGTCATGACCGCAAAAAATAAACCTGTTGAGTAGATAGTTATTTGTCTGAAATGATTTTTTAATCATAATTTTTTCTAGACAAAAAAATGAAACAGTTTCTCTTAAACTTTTCAGTCTAATAACTATATTTAGTCAACATGATTAATTTTTATTAAGAGACTTTTTTTAAGCAAAAAACCAAAAATATGTCTTATTTTTTTACTGAGTAGTTTTATACAGGTACAGACGAAAAGTTATTGCTCTTCCAACCAGTTAAAAAATAAGTAGGTGGCGCCTCCTATAAGTAAGAGTCATATTGACATCGAAATCCATTTTCTAATGTCAAAAAAACACCCAGACACTCATTTATATCCAAATAAAAACTATAGTTCAGAAATAATTTGAAAAAAAAACGAAATAAAAATGAAACTTCTACACCCTGTATCTTCGAAACAAAGCATTTTAAGGCATACATTTATACGAACTTTTTTACTTATTTTTATCTGCAGAATATGCCGTCGAAGTTTCCAGAATACAATTCGGGCCACCCTGTATATTTCATGAGAAATATAAAGTTATTCAATAAATAATTGTATAAATATAGAAGGTGTTTCTGAATAAGTGTCCTGATGATTTTCCAAGTATTTTTAACATGTTTTAAAATGGCTCGTTTTTGAGATAGAGGGTGATAAAGTTTTAAGAAAAAAAAATCGTTTATATCTAATATTTTCGAAGCTACTCCAGATAATTTTATGAAAGGTACAATTTTTTCTTCAAAAATATTCAGCAAATTTGAGAAAATATTTTTGTGAAAAGAAATGTTCTAAATTTCATAAAAATATCTGGAGTGGAAGATGTTATAAAAAATGATAATGTATGAGATGAAAATTTCTTCTAATTTCTCAAAATAACCTTTAAAAGATAATCTTGATGTAAAATTGTCATTTTACACTGCTAAATAAATTTTACAAGATATTTGATCAAACTAATTTTGACAAACACATTGTCAGGGGTAATAGATTAATAAAATTGGGGCATTGTGTAAGTACAAAAAAACGTTACGAACGTTAAAAATAACTTTACAATAATTTATATATAAAATTACTTATATATCTAAAAAGGGAGATGAAACCTACAAGAATATATAATATATTAAACATCTTTCTTCTATTAACAAAATAATTTTCAATTCTCGATATCGGATATATCGATAGATTTCTTAACATATTCTGTGTTGGATGGTCCCCCTTATATTTTCTAACTCCTTTTTCTTTATTTTTAACAAATTATTCAAGTAAGTCAGTCATACTTTTGTACAGGTGCTATCGGAAAGCTTACGTATTTAGTGAATTGAACAAAATATTGAGTAATATACCCTTCATTATTAAGTAAACTCTTAACAATGTTCATGGCACAAAATTGGCAGTCAATTTGTTTTTTTTTATATATTATAACAAGAAATCTATCGAAATATTTTCAAACATTCTTCAGTCACATTACATACAGTTTTTCTTAAACACTAATTACGTATATTACTCATCACTTCAAGATTACTGACATTTTTAAATATTATTTTATAAAAAAACAGTTTATACCGAATGTCTTTGTATCACTGTTACAATGACATACCTGGTATTCATTTTCACACGCATAAAACTTAGACTTGATTTTTTCAGGGTACTAAATAAATTTAAGAATCTTTAATAAGTCAGAAATTCTCTTGAACAGCATTTGCTCTATTAAACAAAAGCAGTGGTGACTTTTTTCTTTTAAATGACAGCCAAAATTGACATTTAATGAAGCAAACTGTTCATTATGAATGGTTTTAACGATTTTTCTTTTTGGTTATGAAGAATAAAAAAATCAATCTCCATGGTTTGTATACAGGCTGGTCTGAACTGTGTTCCGGAAACTTCGGCAGCATAATCTGCAGATCAAAATAAGTAAAAAAAAATCGTATAAATGTATGTCCTAAATTACAATTTTTTGGAGATACAGGATGTAGAAATTTCATTTTTATTTCAATTTTTTCCAAATACTTTCTGAAGTAACGTCAATATTTGGATGAAAATTGGTGTCTGGTAGTTTTTTGACATAAGAAATTTGATTTTGATGTCAATATGACTCCTATTTGTAGGGGACGCTACCTACATGTGTTTTAACTGTTTTCAAGAGTAATAACTTTTCGTCCGTACCTGTATAAAACTATTGAGTAAAAAATATACATTTACGACGTTTTTTACGTAAAAAAGGTCTCTTGGTAAAAATCGCTACGGGTAATCATTCCTTCAAAAAGTTAACATGATTAATTTATGTCAATGATGACAGGTATTGATAAGACCGATTCCAAATATCTCGAGAACCATTACTCGTAGCGATTGTTACCAAGAGACCTTTTTTAAGTAAAAAACGTCGTAAATGTATATTTTTTTACTCATTAGTTTTATACAGGTACGGACGAAAAGTTATTACTGTTCAAACCAGTTAAAAAATATGTAGTTGGTGCCCTCTACAAGTAGGAGTCATATTGACATCAAAATCAAATTTCTCATGTGAAAAAACTCCCAGACAACAATTTTCATCCAAATATTGACGTTACTTCACAAATTATTTGGAAAAAATCGAAATAAAAATTAAAATTCTACACCTTGTACCTCCAAAACTAAGCATTTTAGAATATAGTTCGGATCACCCTGTATAACTGAGGTTTTTAATAGTAACAGAAATATTGAGACATTCGGATATTGTAATTCCGTCAAAAATTGGTTAAATCACCTTGTAAATATGATTGAAATAAATTTCAAGTAGAAATTTGGTCTCTTTAGTTATGATCTGTCTGTTTTAAACCTGATTTAAAACAGTTTATTTAAACAAAATAACAGCGTGGCTACTGTAGAGGTTTTCTTTACCCACAGAGTCCGAAAGTAAAAGTTTCTAGAGAAGCATTCCCTACGTTAAGTATATAAAAATATCACAAGAAAAATAAAAAATATATAAACCTCCTCCTTCTCTATTCTTTCATCTATTCGTTTTCCGTTTAAGCCATAAGTTACTGCTCTAGAAACTCTCATGTTTCTAGTTAGAACTCTAACTCTATTTACAAAACAAATTACATCTATTCTGACTTAAATGACAAATAGGTTTAGTTTAGACCCATTATGATTCCAATCTTAGATTCTTGCTTATTTTTATATGGTTCAGTTAGTGGCATTAGATAGTAAGACGGAAAAAGTTTCATAATGAGTCCAAAGAATCACGTTATATACAAAAAACAACAAGAAATGAGTTAAATAAGTAAAAGGCAAAACTCCGAAATGAGTATGTTTCGATAAATTTATTTGTCTATAAATTTATAGTCAAAGAAATCATAATCTAAATAGAAAAATGGTGAAACAGAAAATTTCTTCTACTTTATATTGAAAATCAGGATAGGAATGAGTCTATAACAAGAACTAGCTATAAATGTTGTTAAAAAACTGCTATTTTTAAAAACAGGGCTTTCAAATCTTTTTTATTATTTGGAACTTCTGAAATTGTTTAAAAAATTATTTGTGGCGTTTGAAAAAATTAGCATGTTCGGAGTAAAAATGATTTTTTGTGCCTCCAAACCACAACAATATACTATCATTGACACAACAAAACCAGATGAAATCGAACTTTGTGTAGGTATGCTGTATGTAATATTGTAATTTCTAAGCAATCTTTACGTATCATTAATGCACTGATAACTTTGACCTTTACTGAATTTTTTTGTGGAATCATTTGATCTAAATATTTTCTGAACTTTTGCAAAATAATTTTTTAGGTAAAGCTCTTGGATGAAGTTACAGACTTTCCTTATCGTGATTTTCAAAGTAGCGAAACAAATATAAAAAAGTAGATCATTATAAAATATTAAATTGTATAACGAATTTATCAATGGCGGAGGTTTAGATCATTCTTTTCTAAAAGAAACACGAATCTCTGTACACCTACCCGATTTGCAAGACTTCAATAATAAATAAATACAAAAAAGAACGAAAAACTAGAACAAAAAAACACGTCCGTGTCCTGTACAAACTTAACGGATTGAGGCGCGCGCGACCGTCCGCGTCCCCCGCACGATGGCACCGTAGAACGACTAGAGAGCTGTGACCATGGTCTTCGGACCCTTCACGGTCACTCAAATGGGCCCGTAGTTGCTTAACGACGGACCGGATGGAGCAGTGTGACTGACCACGACGGGCGCCGACCCATCCCCTGCTTGTCATACGTGACTTAACGGCGGCTGCTTCAGTACGTGATGGTGCAGGTGGTGCTGACTGGCCGAGGCCACGCTGCCCGTTGGTCCCAGCAAGCTAGCGCTGCCTGGACCAGCGATCAGATACTGCGGAGGAGGTGGTTTACCGGTTCGGCTTTTGATCAGGACGGCGTTGGCTCCGGAAATGTCCGGTCTTCCGAAGAGCCTCCTCCAGAGACGCTTCCAGGAGTCGAGGGTTTTGCCTGACCAGATCCATACTCCGCTGGTGATGCCCACGGCTAAAGCCATGAAGTACTTGAGCATCAGGAGGGAGTAGAGTGGCTTAGATTTGGGACTGTTGATGCAGTTGCACGTTAACGATCTGAGCCATTCGTTGTGGAAGGCGTTTTCGTACAGGTGGCATCCGATGACGATTGTGGCCGGCACGGTGTAAAGAACGCTGAAAATTCCGATACGGATCATGAGTTTCTCGAGTTTATCAGCTTTGGATCCAGCCCCGGCTCCTCCTTGTTTCTTGATCACGTTCCTGATTCGGAACAGAGAGACGAATCCGGCAAGAAGGAAGCTTGTTCCTACGATAAGGTACACGACCAAGGGTCCTAGCACGAAGGTGCGGAGGTTTTCCATGTTCATGTTACCGACGTAACAGATACCGGAAACTGGATCTCCATCGATGGCGCTGCTTAGTAACACTCCCAGCGTTTGGAGGGTCGGAATCAACCAAGCCGCCACGTGAAAACACTGCGCGTAACTCGCGATAGCCTCATTTCCCCACTTAAGTCCCGCAGCCAGGAACCAAGTAAACGAAAGGATCACCCACCATATCGACGAGGCCATTCCGAAAAAGTACACTAAAAGAAACACCAAGGTACACACGCTAGTCCCGTTAGACGAATACCGAATCATCCGTCCATCACAAGCTACCGCTTCGTGTCCCACACCAACTCGAATAAGATATCCGACGGATACCAGGAAGTAACAAGCGGACAGGAAGACTATAGGCCTTTCCGGATACTTGAACCGCTCAGTCTCGATGAAAAATGTGGTAAGAGTCATTAGAGTAGAAGCGGCGCAGAGACCCGACCATAGAGTTATCCAGATCGAGGCGAACTCCTTCTCTTCCTGGCTCAAGAAGGGTTCCTTGCAGGGGAACGCACAGGCGGGCACGCCGGCGACGCTTCGGTTTGCCTGAGCGAGTGAGGTTTCGGGCCCCAGGGAGACGAGGGGTAGTTGACAGTGGCAGCGACACTCGTTGCTGTTGGCGTTCGTGTTGCTGTTGCCGCTGCTGGCGGCGCCCTTTGCTCTTGTGCCTCCGTGGGGACTTTCGCAGTTTTTTGAACCCGGCTTGCAAGGTTTGAGGGGTTTCTTGCTGTTGCTCTTCGGGGCCGTGCTGTTGTGAGTCGGGTCGTCCATGCAGAGTATTTCGCCGCCTTGGACTGGGAACTGGTCGCATTCCATTCGCTCGGGCCAGGAGAAGCCGTACTGGGTCATGATTGGTTCGCAACCTTCACGGGCTCTTCTGCACAGGTCCCTGCAAGGCGGTAGGGGCTGAGTGTATATATGAAGACATATGGGAGCGTACATGGAGCAGAGGAAGAACTTCAAGTCGGGAGAACACTTAATTTCGACTAAGGGCCAGAATTGGTGGACTTCCAAGCCCGCTTCTTCTTGGGTTTCGTGGTTCAGTTCGTTTGGCATCCGAGTCATGTTGTATCCGATACCCAGACACATGGGTATGGTGATTTCTTCGCATTTTCCTTCTCCTTCTGATGATGATATCACTGATGGAAGGACCGGTGACGTGAGAAGGAGGACGACCACGAGAATTTGGCAGCTCGTGGCGATCATTTTGGTTGATTTACATCAACTATTTGGCAGCACGATGCGACGTCACTAGAAGATTAGTTGTAGAAGGTGTTTTCTGATTCAATTCCGAATGCTTCTTTGTTCTGACGTCATATTTTCTTTGAAGATATGGTCAAGGGATTGGCAACAAGATGACATGGCAAGTCTGAAAAAAAAGAAAAAAGGAAGATTAATATAACTGAAATATTTAAACACACTGTTGCTAATTATGATTACATATATCTAAAAGAAAGATATTTGACAGACAAATTATAACTTCGGCAGCATATTCTGCAGATAAAAATAAGTAAAAAGTTCGGATAAATGTAAGTCCTAAAATGGGCTTAGTTTCGGAAATACAGGGTGTAGAAGTTTCGATTTTTTTTCTAAATAATTTCTGAAGAAACGTGAATATTTGGATGGAAATTGGTGCCTATTTGTTTTTTGGCATGAGAAATTTTATTTTTGAGTCAATATGTCTCCTACTTGTAGAGGGCGCCACCTACATATTTTTTAACTGGTTTGAAGAGTAATAACTTTTCGTCCGTACCTGTATAAAACTACTGAGTGAAAAAATATACATTTCCGACATTTTCTACATAAAAAAGGTCTCTTGGTAAGAATCGCTACCAGGTTCTCGAGATATTTGGAATCGATATTATGAATGCCTGTCGTAATTGACATAAATTAAACATGTGACTAAATAGTTTTTAGACGGAAATCATAAATTTGAAATGGTTTTGTGCCAAAAGTTCAACAGAAACTGTTTTATTATCATTTTTTCCAAGAAAAATTTATGAATAATTAAAAAAAAGTTTCCAAATTTGTCATTTTAGTTAGCGATGGGAACTATCGAATGAATTAGACTATCGAATGGTTAATGAATGAATGATTTCAACTATCGAATGGTTTTATTCGAATAAAATCATTCATTCATTTGTATACTAAAGCATATGTGACAACCTCGCCGTGCGACTAAATGGTTATCGTTGAGCCACGACTATCGAATGCTTTTGATAAATGAAATTTAGTATTCGTTTGATTTTTGTATGCGTCAGTGCATTATTAGTTCTTTCAAATTTTTATAACTTCGCCGTATAAATACTGTGCTATTTTTTGCGTTTATTAAAATAGTTAAAATACTAAAATAGTAGTTATTTTTTAATTTTATTTATTGACGATTGTGTGCATGTGCAGGTGGTCAAAATTTATCCGAAAATTTGTGTGGTTTTCCGTAGTCCGATCTTTCAATTATTTAATTTTATATGGTATATGGTCTATTTTTTAATGGGAAATTTTGAGAAGTAGCAATTTTTAAGAGAGATGAGATGAACTTACAATTAATTTTAAAAATACATATTTGTATTTTAGATGTTTGAATAATATGAATTAGTTGAACTTAACAATCATATTTAAGTAATGTGGTTGTATAATCATATTTAAGTAAATGGTTATCGAACTCAAACTATGGGGTGAGAAAATTAAAATGAAAGTTTTACACGTGCCAATTTAAAAAAAAAGTTAACGATGTTTATATTTTGTTTATGCTAATTCTCTTACATGTAGTTTTTTGCGAAGAAAAAACATTTCATTTATTTTTTAAAGTAAATGCCAGTAAAAGTAAATTACGTAGTAATATAAAGCACCTAATATAAATAATTTTGATTTCTAATTTTTTATTTATATTTTCGTTCCATTACACTGCATGCTTAGAAAATTAATAAATGTTTATATTTCATGATTGTAAAATTTGTTGTTAATACAACAAATTAGTTCTGTAATTATTATTATTTAATAAACCAACGTTGCCAAAAAATTTAGAGACTATATTATTTTTAAATAGGATCTAATATAAATAATTTTGACATCTAATTTGTTGTTTATATTTTGCTATTACTTAAAAGAAAATATTTATATTAAATGATTTTAAATTTTGTTGTTAATAGGTATAACAAATTATTACTGTTATTATTATTTATTAAACCAGTCTTTGCTAAAAAACATTAAAAATAATTTTCCTACATCCAAAATAACAAGTATTATTGCAGTGTAACAACAGAATATTAATAAAAAAAATGCAGAATATATAGTATGTCTATATATTCCCTAATTAACTAAAGCCAAACAATAATATTCTTTGCTAATATCAACTAATACCAAAATATGGCAACAGCTCCTTTCATAATGTATTTTCTGTGTAAATACTAGCACCTCAATAAAAAAAATAGTGTGTCCTTATCTATATCTGACTCCGCAAAAAATCAAAGATGCCGGCTTCTTTCATAGCATTGCCACCGACCGCTGTCGGGTTTCTCGGAAAGAAACCTACGTCGCCGGGCGACAACTAAAATTCAGTTAATATTTTATTATAATCGATCCTGACGAATGAATGAATTTCATAAATGAATGAATTTTATCAATGAATGGTTTTTGCTGCCGAATTACTAGAATACAATATTTCAAGGCAGATGACGGATCTATTCGATAATTTTTATTCGAATAGTTTTCAACGAATGTTTTCTTACTAACTATCGAATTATTCGAATGAATTGCAACTATCGAATGTTTCGATAGTATTCATTCGATAGTTCCCACTACTAATTTTAGTCAAATAACTATCTACTCAGCGTGTTTATTTTTTTGTCAATAATGACATGTATTGATTATTTCCATTCTAAATATCATGAGAACGGTTGCTCGTAGCGATTTTTAACGAGAGCTATTTTTTACGCAAAAAATCACGTAATTGTATATTTTTTCACCCAGTAGTTTTATACAGGTACGGATGAAAAGTTATTACTCTTCAAAACAATTAAAACACATGTAGGTGACGCCCTCTACAAGTAGGAGTCATATTGACATCGAAATCAAATTTCTCATGTCAAAAAACTGCCAGACACCAATTTTCATCCAAATATTGACGTTACTTCAGAAATTATTTGAAAAAAAATCAATAACAAAGAAATTTCTACACCCTGTATCTCCGAAAATAAGCATTTTAGGACATACATTTATACGAATTTTTTTGCTTATTTTTATTTGCAGAATATGCTTCCGGAAAATAGTTCGGACCACCCTGTATATAATCGTTATTTTTAAACTCTTTAAGGTTCTAACTTCTACGGTTAAAGTTGTGATATAAAAAAACACAAAAAAATTAAATCAAGACGCTATTACTAATGCTTGCTTAATTCTAATTCTCCAGGTTGGGCGATAAGTAGATGTAAAGTCGCATAATAAAATTACTTAGATATTAAAAAACAAATGATAAAGGTAAGGGAACAGACAAAAATTCCATTTTATACCTTCGGAAAACAGATTTCCTCTCTGGCGGAATCCTATTTGGCGAAGATTGATTTATAGGAAGGGGGCCTAAATCTCGCAACGACGGCAAAAGCGCCCTCTACAGACGGCACGTGACAAATAATATACCGCCATTAACGCAACGTTACGACGTGACTTTGGGCCCTTTAAATTGAGCGCGCTCCATTTCCCGCCAATCCCCACGCTGCAAATCGAAAAACGACGAAGGAAGAGATAAAATTTGACCAATTTCCTCGTGTGTTTGATTAAAACTTATTCTCGATTAATTGGTTTAGAGAGGGTGGATTGCCACGAATCGATTTTGATTTGTAAAATATCGTAATTCTCCCATCGACAGCTTATATATAGAAAAAACAATAAGGTATTTCCAACAATAGTCTTATTACTGAGGGCAAACCCATTCATACAAACATAGTACAGTTAAGAGGAATATTATAATCATTTTAGTTTAAAAAAACTTTATTTCTACTCGTATGTTTTTTAATTGCTTCCATTTTTGAAAATTGTTGTATTCCTTTTCATAAGTTATTCGGGATTTAAATGGAAGTAGTTTGGATATGGCGTTTGTCGCCTCAGCCTGAATATCAGTTGGTAATTTACTTATTTCGTTTTGAGCCATTTCTGGCTCCAATTCAATCAGCAATCGACACGAAAGAGAATTAAAAAATATTGACTCACAACTGATAACTAAAGAGACAGCTCTATTTATTTGTAAAATTACATAGAAATTGTTTTGTCGTTTTGAGGGAAGAAGAAAATATAAGGTTATTTATTATTATATCAAATGTAACACTTTATTTAAACAATAATAAAAATGTATGAAATTAAATATAGTGATATATTAAATTAAACATGAAAGTAAAATCCCTTCAAGAACAATAAAAGCAATAAAAGTTCAAGACATAGTCAAATTGGTGCTAAAATGAGGTTGAGTTCATTCAATATTAAATAATATTTGCAACAAAAATACACTCCTATTGAAATCCAGTTAATGTTATCGTTAAATGATGTATTGGAAACCAATGAATTCTTATAGTTGAGACAGTGATAGTGTATATTCCGAAAGCAATATCATGATATATGTCGATTCAAACACTGGTATAGTCGACGAATGGGGAAAGTAGTGTAGCGTTGGCGTAATGATATTATCTTTGTAGAAACGGTAGTGTTTTCTCTGTTACGGTAGTGTTCACTTCTTCAAACATGTGCTTAAAATCCTTCAATTTAATAGTCAGTACCGATTCTTGCATGACAACAGAGTACAGCTTAAAAATAAACTTTTCTATAGACTGTTGATACCTTGTGGTACAAAAAACTGGTCTAGTCTTTCTAGATTTTAACCATCGACGAACCATGTAGTTATTCAGACGATTTTTAATGCGAAGCAACCGTTTTACAAGAACAGACACTTTATCATCTCATCGCCTATAGTAAAAAGGTACATACGTAAACAGAGCAACCGCGTGTTGTTTTCGAGAAAACGGCAATGCCTTATGGATGTTCCGTCGTCTCGTTCCAACAGGCAGATGATCGCGAAGCGTTAAAAAACTAGAAGACACGTTAAATTGCTATTTACGTCTTCGCAAATGGCTGTCTTCGACAGAAGATAAATGTTCTCGCGCGGAACAGGTCTCGGGTAGGGATGGAACGATACAACTCAAATATCGATACTTTTATTTAGAAAGTATCGATCCGAAAACTTTTAAATCTTAGTTGTGATGTTTCAGAGGGTCTTGTTGGTCTCTAAGTTGGAATATGTGAACCCAAAACACTCTTGTATATTGTATGGGAGGAGGAAGTTAATCACCGCGACCTTATAGAACTATTTTGTCCCCCTTTCTT